GATCAACAAGTCATGCTGTCATGTATTTTTCAGCCAGGGACAGCAAATATGAGCCCTAGCATTTCTTTGTTGTTAGTCAGCCAGACAAACCATCAATTCAAGTGAAAATGTATTCACCGAAATCCATTCCAGCTCCTGCCTGTTGCTTTAATTATATGGTTGGGTCCTAGCCTGTTACTCACCTGACTGGCTTATTGAGCAAAGCTCAGATTGAGAACTACTGCCCTTCTTCCTCCATTTGAACCCTTCACGTACTGCAAACACCTCCATTTCTTATTGCCTGTTGACAATTATTTAAGCATTTTTACTATAACCCGTGCAACTCCTCATTTATTTTGCATCTGTTCCCTCGTTCAATTTCCCTGGGGACCTAATGTTTTAGTCTTCTTGGTCTTTCTGGAATTCTTTTCCAATTAAAGTCCTGTTCTGTTTTTTTTTTATTTTCCATTGCCACTACAGTAGCTTCTAGAGTAGCAATAATGCAGAGATTTACATGCTCATAGTGCAGGTGTTTATCCCACTCCAATTGTCTGAATTAGACAACTCTAAGTGTTGCACATCAGCTCTGAGAGGCCCAAGGCTTCCTGGTGTGCCCCATCTGTAGACAGGAAGGGGAGAGCAAAAGGTATGGCTCTGCTGACTGGCACTGAGCTGGGATAGAGGAAGTGCAGAAACATGGGTCTGTCTGTTCTCTGCCTCCTTTGCAGCAACTTGTTCCAGGAAAAAGCAACTTGGTAGTAGCCCCTCAGTCCAGTGGTGGGCATCCTTCAGCCTGTGGGTCACATGCAGCTGTGTATGGCCCATGAGACATTTTATTTCCTGTTGCCCATGCACAGGGTTGGCAGATTCTATTGGTTTCCGTCCATGCAGGTTTTTTTCCTACTAGTACTACTAAAGTAACACTCACATAAAGCAAGAGCACATGAAGTGAGGTGCATGCCGATTGCTCACAATTGTGAGAGCCATGTGCTGCTACACTTCCATCGGCACACTCTGCAAATTCTAGATTCACAAGCGCAGTTAGCAAAATTACCCTATCCCAGGAGACCATCATGGTTACAACAATCTTGCAGCCCGCTGAAATAAAGAAGGGTCATTCATGCGGCCCACTCTGTATGCTAGGCTGCCTGTTGGTGCCCTGACCTCTTCCCGTGCACACAGACTACTGCTCTGAGAAGTCCTTATGCAAGTCATGCAAATGGGTAGGGAAGGAGATTTATTTCCTCCATAATTTGGCACCACATCACCTAGCCATTTATAAACAGCATATGACAAATTAACAGAATATACTATAGGATCAAAAGGAATAAATCATTCCCATTGTTTGTTATCTCTTATCACACACCTATGCCACAGTTGTGAATTTCATTCAGTACTGGCATTTTAAGTTTTATTATTCTAAATGTATGTCAGTGCCTTCATCTCCTGGTTCCAAAAGAAAGGACCAGTTATAAATAAAAATTAGAAGCTCCCCAAGAGAAGTATCCAATCAAGACCAGGTGCTCCATACTCTAGAATGATCAGGTTGATTGGTTACTGTTTGGGCATCAGATGCTTATATAGTTCATCTGTGGGCTGAGTAACCTGGGAAACTGCATGACCCACCCCTGCAGCCCTTTCTCAGAAGGTCTTAAAAAGGGTTTTCTAAACTGTTTCTATTACCTTCCCACCCCAAGCCCATGATTACCCTTTTATTCACTACAGCCCTCATCTTGTGAAGAGAACATGTTACAAGCCAAATCCAGCATTTCTGAAAAGAGGTTCCTGTGACTAGCCACACAATATAAAACAGGAAGAAGGATTTCAGCTTATCTGTACTGTCTTGCCTTGTTTGTTCTTGGGGAAATCTGGCTGGCTTCCCACCGCTATGCAATATTCTAAGAAGTCTCCTGTCAGCATTAAGCACGCTTGCCATTTTGCAGGTGAAAAGAGCCATAGCCAGAATTTATTTTTTCCACATGATCCTAATAACAAAGTCCTGCCACCAAAGTTGTCCCCAGCATCAACTAGCAGGTTTTTTCCACCAAAAGCTTCATCCACTATTCCCTAGGACAGACACAGAATTCTATTTCTAGAATTAAACATGTTTTTACACAGTATTGACCAAGCTTTCTAGATGTGTTCTACATTTCAACTTGTCCTTCTCCTCTTCCAATAAAATAAATCATCTTTGCTTTCATGCTTCTCTCGGTAGTTCAGTATCTCTCCATCATCCTTACATCCCCCACTGAGCTTTAGCCTCACAACGCACACATATGCAGACTGGGAGGTCTCCAAAATAGCAGTGCTTAGCGTATAATTTGGGGCCTTGTGTTCCGGATGTAGATTTGACATATAGAAATATCTCCTCTTTGCCTCCCATTTAAACCCATGTCCCTATAATTATGTTCCAGCTGTCAGGGATGAACAAAGCTCATTTACTGATACACTTGATTGGCCATTAGGTATCAGTATGTTGCAATTCAAGACTTGCCTAGTGTAAAATGCTTTTCTGCCTTTTTTTTATTTTTGTAGTAAGAGTAATATTAACACCCACCAAGAAGCAATGGAAAAACAGAATTATAGAACTGCTACCTCAGTATAAACTGGTCATGAATGTATTGAGTGGAAGTCAAAAGGTTTCTACTCACCAGAGTACTGAGATTCTGGAACAGCGTTCTGGGAGGAGTGTTGGGAGCAAATCTAACTAGTTTTAAGATGAAACATGATAAGTTATGGATGAGATTTTACAGTTAGGGATGCCTGCAATAATAAAAAAACTGGAGTCAATGACCAGGGGATTCCTTCCAGTCCTATGTTCCTAATTACCTATTTACCTTACCCAAAGGCTCATAGTCACAAGTGGCCCTTTAACGTGTCTCATGTGGCTCTTTGACTAATAATTAAAGTCACAGTGTTTTAATATCATGTGCTGCTGTCTACATTTTTTAACCAGACTGCTTTTAGTGTTATTAACCAATTGAAGTTGATAAAATAGTGATAGCTGGTCATTCATTTTGGTGTGAGAATTATATAGGTTATACAAATCGTAAATGAAACAATGAATTCACACAACTATGGCTCTTGTGGATAATGTGTCTCCTGAAGCACCAAGGTCTGAGTTTTGCTGCTCTCTTGGTACTATACTTTTACAGATAATGGTACTTACCACTGGAAAATGTCTCTAGCTACAGATTTTAAAAATGTCTTGCAGAGGGGAGCATTGTTCTCTTCATTTTACAGCTGAGGAGACTGTGACACAAAGTTTAAACAGTTTCCCCAAGACACCAAGTTAGTGGCACAGACAGGCATTGAATCCAAGTCTCCTGATGTATGGACTAGTGTCCAATCTTCTAGGCTATGCTGTCTGTCCTGCAATTGATTTGGGATGCCGTGAATTTCTGGGCACCACTGGAGTAGCCCTCATTGGCATAATTCCACTGTGTTTTAAGACAACCACTTGTTGATTCTATACCTTTCAAGTATACCTTATATTTGCTTCAGAAGACAGGTTTAAATGTTTTTAATTAACAATGTTGCTGTTGTCAACAGAAAGGACACACAACAGCCTAAGATACACATATCAGTCTTGAACCTAATAATACACTCTGCAGTTCTACAGCTTATTCAGTATTAAGGCAGTGGGATAGAAATAATTACATGGGTTTCTGTACACCAGAGAGTCAGTAATTTAAAGGAGAGCCAAAACATTTGGAGGTGAAGGAAATAATTATTGAGGCTTAGTGCCTTTGTGGTTTAGAAAGTCTTTAAACTTTACAAAAGAGCAGATGTGTGCACTCCGGCAACCCCTCAGGAAGAGAGTTGTCCATTTGGTACCAAACTAGCAGGGATGCAATTATACAATATACATCTGAAAGAGAAACTTGGATCTGATTTTTATAGCCTTTTATTTCATGTTTATAGACACTCTATTCTGTAACTTCACTCTGATACATGTACACACTTCTAGCTCTAATATACAGCATTTTGCTTTTCCTACTTTCATGCCTCCCAACAGTTTTCTGCAAAGTAGGGGAGGAGAATGAGGTTATATACCCGATTTCCCTCCCTTGTTCCCAATCTCAGGGCAAACCTTCTTTCAGCTAAGGGAGCATAGACAGCCCTTGGGCTGTCAATGCCACACCTGTATTAGGCAGAAAGCCCTTTTTAAAACAACAAAATACTCTACTCCTGAGGAGCCAGGCACTCTAGCTCTGTTCTGGCAGAGTTAAGTCAGAACAAAAATAAGCCACTTAAAAAGACAGAACTACTCTATAAAATCAAACACATAGAGAAGAATTAAGATACCTGGGGGAAAAATCCTCCAGTTCTGCAGGTACAGACTTCCAGAATGCTTCAGAAAAACAGAGGCTCCAGGTCATGTCTCTGTTCATACTGCTTGAGGGAAGTATATTCCACACACATGCCATCAATTATACTGTTAACTTTAGTATGCCTGGCCAGCTGGACAGCATTGTTAATATTGCAATACACAGGCATGAATCAGGGCCAGAGCCTCATCACGCTAAATGTTGTACACATAGAATATGAAATGATCTTGAATTTTATCAGAAGAGTTCTCACCTATTCTACCTTTAACAGACTCTTGGGCAGAACAAAATTCTCACCAAAAGATTCCCAATGCTAACTTTAAAAAAATCCAAAGTTACTAGAAGAGACCTCTGCCAACAAGTACAGGGCAACTTGACCTTCCTTTCTAGTACCGATGTTGGTCTCTTCTACCTTATACTCCTGGGATTGGCAAGCATGTTAAAAGAAAAAAAACTAATCTTAATACTCACTGTTTAAGCCCTATTCTGAATGGTGACCTTATTCAGAGATATAGTGCTGCTCTGTGTACTGAACCATAATAGAAAAGTACACAGCAACGTTTCAAACAAAGCTGCACAGAGATATTAAGTATGTCACAGAAGAACAAGCAGTAGTTCTGCAACCTCTCAGATGGTACCCATGGCCACAGGATTCCCCATTGACACAGCAGACAAAAATGTCATTCAAGATTGTTTGTTCTTTCTCCTTTATTTAGCCACAAAAACAAAAGCGACCAAACCCAATCTAGTGGAACCCATTAAAGAATATCTCTTGATAGAATAAACCTGTTCGAAATGAGCCTCATGTAACCCAATCATAATATATACAAGAATGCAGCACAGTCCTTGTAAAATATGAGGAATCACCTCTGGGTGCATCTCAAAATAAAATCCCAATAGAAAATTGACCAGTTTAAGAGAATATATTTGTTACAAAATACGCTTTTGCCCTGCATGGGTTTCCACCGTACCATTCCATTGGCTGTTTAAATACCATCACAACTTATTTTAGGTGCAAATGTGAAGCGCCTACAGTAGATTTTGAAATCAGTTATCCAAGTTTAACTAGGATGGAGTAACAGAGTTACTCCGTTATAATCAAAATCAGGTTCTGACCCAACACAATTGAAAGGATGTTTAGCATTGGCTCTACTCAGTAAAGTGGTGTAGGTGTTGATCTTCTTTCCCCATGATCCCTATAAAATCACCAGTGCAATTTACGCTTGATCGATAGTAGCCCCTTTGCTATTCCTTATGTCAAAAGAAATAATGCAGTGCTTTTAAGTTGTGATAAATGTCCACTAGAGACTAGAATGAAGTCATGAAATACACCCTGCCACTGTGATACAGAATTCCTTTTCTGGGATAAATCTGGTCAATCTGATTTGTCAACGCTTTGTTCAGAAATATAAAACTCAGAATACAGTTTACAAAAGAATATTTCCTTATAGAACATCTTAATGTCAAAATATTAACAAAAACACAATTTATGTTAAGGCTGAGAAGAGTGGTTTTGAAAAATTAAAAACTAAAAATAAGCTGTTGCTAACAATAATAGACAAAAATATACTAAACGTTAAAAAGGATCCAATGTTTTCAGGCAAACTGGAATCATTTGAGACAAATTGTTTACAAAGTGAGTTAAACACTCAGCATAAACCTATGACAAGTTAACATCCTAGTGTGATTTTATTTTTGGACAAACTTCAGCAACTTATTTTAAAAAATCTGCTAATACAAAAATTTTAAAAACCCAAACACTTCAGTTTTTAGACAAATTTTGTTAAACTGGAACTGTACCTTTGCCTCAGTTACTTAAGAAATTAAAATTTGAAGTTGGCAATAAAACCAGCTCAGCTGAGTTTTTAAGCTTCCCTCACCCTGCACTAAACCATTAGTTCTTAAAAGGCTCCAATCTCAGTCCCCCACGGTCTGTAGGGCTTGCCAAGGTTTGCCGACTGTGCTGGTGCAGATGGACTGAGTGCATTAGGGGACAGCAAATGGAACGAACCAAATGAAAAGGGGAATGCAGACAAAGATGCCATGGAGGACAGCAGAGGAGGAGATAGTTTGGAAGTAGAGGTGACCACAGGGAGCACTGGTCCGATGCTGCCATTAGGGGGCAGTCTCAGCGAAGATGTTTCAGCATGTGAAGCAGCAATTCTGCTCTGGTGATGTTCTGTGGAAGGCGCTGTGGTACTGGTACTACTGTGCCCAGTCTGAGGCAGTAACAGTGGGTGACAGATGTGAGGATGATGATGTCCAAAGGCACTGCCCCAAGGAATATGTCCAATGCCGGCGTGGGCACTGCTTGCTGCTTCCCGTTGAGAGGCATAATTATTGAGGTGAGACACAAGTCGAACTCGAAGAGGATCAGAAGTGTCCAGGCCCTCAATAATACTAAGGTACCGGACTACTTCAGCCAGGCACTCTCGAAATCCTAAACTCCGATAGTCCATAGCAAGAGCGTGGGCATCAAAATAGCCTAAGAAAAGGAACAAAAAAATGGAGCCTTAAAATACCAGTTATAATCATTCACTACGCTACTCTCCATAAGCACATTTCACTTGAGTGTGATGGTTAGATAGCTGCAGTTTTCCCCAACCACAGAATGGCTTCCAAAAACTCTTCTATGGTCTAGCAAGCTTTCCTTTCACAGTATCTGTGTTGTGATGCTGCGAGTCCCGGGACCAGACTGACATGTATACGCTGAAATTGCACACTACCAGCAAAGAACGCACCAAGAGAATAGATGAATTGTCCAATGCAAGCTACATCAATGGAAACAAAACCACTCAACAGTGAAATTCATTAGTCACACACGTGTAACTTATCATAGACCACTTTCACAGACTAGCTGTTGGTCCTCAAACCTCAATTTATACATTGTCATTTATGCTAGCTCCTCCTCTATTCATTTCAACCTATAACTCATTTTCAGCCAAAAAGATCTCAAACGGACCACTTCCTTTAGAGGAAGGAGAATGAGAAAAAGCTCCTATTCTCCTCCATGTCTGAAAGTCACTTTACTTCACACAGTGCTGCCATTACCAAAACTTGCATAACATTTTCCTAAGGAAGAGTCTGTCTATAGTCTACAACAGCTAATCTGCACACAGAGCAGTAAATAGACTATAAAATGTTTAGCATAAGAGGAAATACTGAATTTCCCAGTAGTATATACATATACTTCCATTTGATTCTCCTCCCACTGCATAGAGCATATCAAATGACAAATATGTGGGACTTTGAGTTGCAGTACAGGGTGCTGCTCGGTCTTCTTACAACTTTATTGCTGTAATCACACTTTATGTGGGACTATTGAATCTGTTGTCAGATAAAAATCTACCTTTGCCTCCTGCTGTATGCAACATTTTCAGGTGATCCACAGTCATCTGCAGAATTTCAGCTTTTTCCAGTTTGGCTGATCCCTGAGTGAGAGAGGGGAGAGAATAGAATAGGTCAATTTTTAGAAGATCTAAAAGAACTTGGCAGAAATAGTACAAAATGAACTATAAACAAGTAAGATGCAAGACTATTTCTAGGCTGCAGTCCTTATGACTGAGTCACCTATGCACTAATTATAGTCAGAACCCAATGTGAATTACCTGCTTTTCAAAAGCACTGGGCACCAGTCTCCTCAGCTCAGACAAGCTATTATTGATTCGGTCCCGGCGCCGTTTCTCGATGATCTAGGAACAAAACAGACAGGTTTTCAGCGTTGGCTGGAAATGCCAGGCTGGGGCAAAGCAGCTTGTCCCCGGGAGAGAATGAGGAATTTGGTGAGAGCGGACTCACCCCTCTGCGCCTTTTCCTGGCCAGGATCTGGGAGGTGGTGGACGGAGACATTGAACCTGGAGCGGAACTCAAGTTTCTGAAATAAACCGCAAACAATTAAGGCAGGTGCCGGGAGCAAGAGACGCGAGGCTGTAAGGAAGGATCAGCAACCAGCAGCAAGGGCAGGGAGCCTCTTACTTGCCCGCGGTGTCAGCCCGCTCTCCCCGGCGCAGAGCACCCGCTCCCCTCCTCACCCATTCTCGTCCGCGCTCTCCTTCTCCACCTCCACGGGCTCGTCCAGCTCCTCGCTGTCAGAGGAGCTGTTCTGGG